ATCCTTTTATTTATTTACTTTATATTTCTTTTTGTTATTGATTTGCACCCTATTTTTTTCCCTCATCCCGCAACTCTAAATTATCATGAAATCAATTCTTCACGCTTGCGGTGATTCATTTGCGCCGACAAATTTGAGCGACGATCCGGGCTTTGGTCGAGCAATACCGTTCCTGATTTGTTTCGCGCCTTCAGACCCGCCCTCATGCTTCGACAAGAAACAAAATATAAAGCAATCGTTCCGACGGAGCTAAATTACTACAGGATAAAGAACGAATAGGAAATTTGGATTTCGAAACAAAAAAAAGAGGGGTGCAACACGAGGACTTCCCAGGGGGTCACCCATCCTAGTACTACTCTCGCCTAAGCACGCTTAACTTCGGAGTTCTGATGGGATCCGGTGCATTAATGCTGGTATGATCGCACCCGCCATTTTCCTTTCGCTTTATTCCTTTAAACTACCCAGTCCTGAAAAGCAGTGTGGCTTTTCTAGACCGAAATTCATTTTAAGCGTCAATACAAGCATTTTCCTCTTATCCTTTTATTTATTTACTTTATATTTTTTTTGTTATTGATTTGCACCTTATTTTTTTCCCTCATCCCGCAATTCTAAATTATCATGAAATCAATCATTCACGTTTACGGTGATACATTTGCGCTGACAAATTTGAGCGACGATCCGGGCTTTGATCGAGCCGTACCGTTCCTGATTTGTCTCGCGCCTTCAGACCCGCCTTCATGCTTCGACAAGAAGCAAAATATAAAGCAATCGTTCCGACGGAGCTAAATTACTACAGGATAAAGAACGAATAGGAAATTTGGATTTCGAAACAAAAAAGAGAGGGGTGCAACACGAGGACTTCCCAGGGGTCACCCATCCTAGTACTACTCTCGCCCAAGCACGCTTAACTTCGGAGTTCTGATGGGATCCGGTGCACTAGTGCTGGTATGATCGCACCCGCCATGTTCCTTTCGCTTTATTCTTTTAAACTACCCCGTCCTGCGAATCAGTGTGGCTTTTCTAGACCGAAATTCATTTTAAGCGTCAATTCAAGCATTTTTCTCTTATCCTTTTATTTATTTACTTTATATTTTTTTTTGTTATTGATTTGCACCCTGTTTTTTCGCTCATCCCGCAAACTTCTAAATTATCATTGAAATCAATCCTTCACGCTGTCCGGTTGATACATTTGCGCCGACAAATTGAGCGACGATCCGCGGCTTTGATCGAAGGCCGTACCGTTAAAAACTGATTTTGTCTCGCGCCTTTCAGACCCGCCTTCATGCCCTTCGACACAAATCAAAATGTTAATAGCAATTCGGCTTCCGACGGCAGCCTAAATTTACTAGCAGGATAAAGACGCGAATAGAAATTTTGGATTTTTCGAAACAAAATAATGATAGAGTGCAACACAAGACTTCCAGCGGGGTCACCCCATCCTAGTACTTACTCTCGGCCCAAGCACGCTTTAACTTTTGGAGTTCCTGCATGGGATCCGCGTGCATTTAGTGCTGGTTATGATCGCACCCGCCATGTTCCTTCGCTTTATTCTTTTAAAAATAACCTCTCGGCATTTCTGGACGCTCCGCTAATAGGCAGTGTGGCTTTTCTAGACCGAAATTAATTTTAAGCGTCAATTCAAGCATTTTCCTCTTATCCTTTTATTTATTTACTTTATATTTCTTTTTGTTATTGATTTGCACCTTATTTTTTTCCCTCATCCCGCAATTCTAAATTATCATGAAATCAATCATTCACGTTTGCGGTGATACATTTGCGCCGACAAATTTGAGCGACGATCCGGGCTTTGATCGAGCAATACCGTTCCTGATTTGTTTCGCGCCTTCAGACCCGCCTTCATGCTTCGACAAGAAAGAAAATATAAAGCAATCGTTCCGACGGAGCTAAATTACTACAGGATAAAGAATGAATAGGAAATTTGGATTTCGAAACAAAAAAAAGAGGGGTGCAACACGAGGACTTCCCAGGGGGTCACCCATCCTAGTACTACTCTCGCCTAAGCACGCTTAACTTCGGAGTTCTGATGGGATCCGGTGCATTAATGCTGGTATGATCGCACCCGCCATTTTCCTTTCGCTTTATTCCTTTAAACTACCCAGTCCTGAAAAGCAGTGTGGCTTTTCTAGACCGAAATTCATTTTAAGCGTCAATACAAGTATTTTCCTCTTATCCTTTTATTTATTTACTTTATATTTCTTTTTGTTATTGATTTGCACCTTATTTTTTTCCCTCATCCCGCAATTCTAAATTATCATGAAATCAATCATTCACGTTTGCGGTGATACATTTGCGCCGACAAATTTGAGCGACGATCCGGGCTTTGATCGAGCCGTACCGTTCCTGATTTGTCTCGCGCCTTCAGACCCGCCTTCATGCTTCGACAAGAAGCAAAATATAAAGCAATCGTTCCGACGGAGCTAAATTACTACAGGATAAAGAACGAATAGGAAATTTGGATTTCGAAACAAAAAAAAGAGGGGTGCAACACGAGGACTTCCCAGGGCGTCACCCATCCTAGTACTACTCTCGCCTAAGCACGCTTAACTTCGGAGTTCTGATGGGATCCGGTGCATTAATGCTGGTATGATCGCACCCGCCATTTTCCTTTCGCTTTATTCCTTTAAACTACCCAGTCCTGAAAAGCAGTGTGGCTTTTCTAGACCGAAATTCATTTTAAGCGTCAATACAAGCATTTTTCCTCTTATCCTTTTATTTATTTACTTTATATTTTTTTGTTATTGATTTGCACCTTATTTTTTTCCCTCATCCCGCAACTCTAAATTATCATGAAATCAATCCTTCACGCTTGCGGTGATACATTTGTGCCGACAAATTTGAGCGACGATCCGGGCTTTGATCGAGCCGTACCGTTACTGATTTGTCTCGCGCCTTCAGACCCGCCTTCATGTTTCGACAAGAAGCAAAATATAAAGCAATCGTTCCGACGGAGCTAAATTACTACAGGATAAAGAACGAATAGGAAATTTGGATTTCGAAACAAAAAAGAGAGGGTGCAACCCACGAGTACTTCCCAGGCGTCACCCACCTAGTACTATTCTCGCCCAAACACGCTTAACTTCGGAGTTCTGATGGGATCCGGTGCATTAGTGCTGGTATGATCGCACCCGCCATGTTCCTTTCGCTTTATTCTTTTAAACCACCCCGTGCTGCGAAACAGTGTGGCTTTTCTAGACCGAAATTCATTTTAAGCTTCGATTCAAGCATTTTCCTCTTATCCTTTTATTTATTTACTTTACATTTTTTTTGTTATTCATATGCACCTTATTTTTTTCCCTCATCCCGCAACTCTAAATTATCATGAAATCAATCCTTCTCGCTTGCGGTGATACATTTGCGCCCACAAATTTGAGCGACGATCCGGGCTTTGATTGAACCGTACCGTTCCTGATTTGTCTCGCGCCTTCAGACCCGCCTTCATGTTTCGACAAGAAGCAAAATATAAAGCAATCGTTCCGACGGAGCTAAATTACTACAGGATAAAGAACGAATAGGAAATTTGGATTTCGAAAAAACAAAAAATTGAGAGTGAAACACGAGGACTTCCCAGGCTGTCACCCATCTTATTACTACTCTCGCCAACACGCTAACTTCGGAGTCTGATGGAGATCCGGGCATTAGTGCTGATGATCGCACCGCTTGTTCCTTTCGCTATTAATTCTTTTAAAATTACTCCGTCCTGCGAAGCAGTGTCGCTTTTCTAGACCAAATTAATTTTAAGCGTGCAGCTCAAGCATTTTCCTCTATCTCTTTATTTATTTACTTTATATTTCTTTTTGTTATTGATTTGCACCCTATTTTTTTCCCTCATCCCGCAACTCTAAATTATCATGAAATCAATTCTTCACGCTTGCGGTGATTCATTTGCGCCGACAAATTTGAGCGACGATCCGGGCTTTGGTCGAGCAATACCGTTCCTGATTTGTCTCGCGCCTTCAGACCCGCCTTCATGCTTCGACAAGAAACAAAATATAAAGCAATCGTTCCGACGGAGCTAAATTACTACAGGATAAAGAACGAATAGGAAATTTGGATTTCGAAACAAAAAAAAGAGAGGTGCAACACGAGGACTTCCCAGGGGGTCACCCATCCTAGTACTACTCTCGCCTAAGCACGCTTAACTTCGGAGTTCTGATGGGATCCGGTGCATTAATGCTGGTATGATCGCACCCGCCATTTTCCTTTCGCTTTATTCCTTTAAACTACCCAGTCCTGAAAAGCAGTGTGGCTTTTCTAGACCGAAATTCATTTTAAGCGTCAATACATGCATTTTCCTCTTATCCTTTTATTTATTTACTTTATATTTTTTTTGTTATTGATTTGCACCTTATTTTTTTCCCTCATCCCGCAACTCTAAATTATCATGAAATCAATCATTCACGCTTGCGGTGATACATTTGCGCCGACAAATTTGAGCGACGATCCGGGCTTTGATCGAGCAGTACCGTTCCTGATTTGTCTCGCGCCTTCAGACCCGCCTTCATTCTTCGACAAGAAGCAAAATATAAAGCAATCGTTCCGACGGAGCTAAATTACTACAGGATAAAGAACGAATAGGAAATTTGGATTTCGAAACAAAAAAGAGAGGGGTGCAACACGAGTACTTCCCAGGGGGTCACCCATCCTAGTACTGCTCTCGCCCAAGCACGCTTAACTTCGGAGTTCTGATGGAATCCGGTGCACTAGTGCTGGTATGATCGCACCCGCCATGTTCCTTTCGCTTTATTCTTTTAAACTACCCCGTCCTGCGAAGCAGTGTGGCTTTTCTAGACCGAAATTCATTTTAAGCGTCAATTCAAGCATTTTTCTCTTATCCTTTTATTTATTTACTTTATATTTTTTTTTGTTATTGATTTGCACCCTGTTTTTTCCCTCATCCCGCAACTCTAAATTATCATGAAATCAATCATTCACGCTTGCGGTGATATATTTGCGCCGACAAATTTGAGCGACGATCCGGGCTTTGATCGAGCCGTACCGTTACTGATTTGTCTCGCGCCTTCAGACCCGCCTTCATGCTTCGACACGAAGCAAAATATAAAGCAATCGTTCTGACGGAGCTAAATTACTACAGGATAAAAAACGAATAGGAAATTTCGATGTCGAAACAAAAAAGAGAGGGGTGGAACTCGAGGAATTCCCAGGGGGTCACCCATCCTAGTACTACTCTCGCCCAAGCACGCTTAACTTCGGAGTTCTAATGGGATCCGGTGCATTAGTGCTGGTATGATCGCCCCCGCCATGTTCCTTTCGCTTTATTCTTTTAAACCACCCCGTGCTGCGAAACAGTGTGGTTTTTCTAGACCGAAATTCATTTTAAGCTTCAATTCAAGCATTTTCCTCTTATCCTTTTATTTATTTACTTTGTATAATTTTTTTTATTGATTTGCACCCTATTTTTTTCCCACATCCCGCAACTCTAAATTATCATGAAATCAATCCTTCACGCTTGCGGTGATTCATTTGCGCCGACAAATTTGAGCGACGATCCGGGCTTTGGTCGAGCAATACCGTTCCTGATTTGTCTCGCGCCTTCAGACCCGCCTTCATGCTTCGACAAGAAACAAAATATAAAGCAATCGTTCCGACGGAGCTAAATTACTACAGGATAAAGAACGAATAGGAAATTTGGATTTCGAAACAAAAAAAAGAGGTGTGCAACACGAGGACTTCCCAGGGGGTCACCCATCCTAGTACTACTCTCGCCTAAGCACGCTTAACTTCGGAGTTCTGATGGGATCCGGTGCATTAATGCTGGTATGATCGCACCCGCCATTTTCCTTTCGCTTTATTCCTTTAAACTACCCAGTCCTGAAAAGCAGTGTGGCTTTTCTAGACCGAAATTCATTTTAAGCGTCAATACATGCATTTTCCTCTTATCCTTTTATTTATTTACTTTATATTTTTTTTGTTATTGATTTGCACCTTATTTTTTTCCCTCATCCCGCAACTCTAAATTATCATGAAATCAATCATTCACGCTTGCGGTGATACATTTGCGCCGACAAATTTGAGCGACGATCCGGGCTTTGATCGAGCAGTACCGTTCCTGATTTGTCTCGCGCCTTCAGACCCGCCTTCATGCCTCGACAAGAAGCAAAATATAAAGCAATCTTTCCGACGGAGCTAAATTATAACAGGATAAAGAACGAATAGGAAATTTGGATTTCGAAACAAAAAAGAGAGGGGTGCAACACGAGTACTTCCCAGGGGGTCACCCATCCTAGTACTACTCTCGCCCAAGCACGCTTAACTTCGGAGTTCTGATGGGATCCGGTGCACTAGTGCTGGTATGATCGCACCCGCCATTTTCCTTTCGCTTTATTCCTTTAAACTACCCCGTTCCTGCGAAGCAGATGTGCGCTTTCTAGACCGAAATTAATTTTTAAGCGGTTCAGTTCAAGCATTTTTCCTCTTATCCTTTTTATTTTATTACTTTATATTCTTTTTGTTTATTGATTTGCCACCTATTTTTTTTCCCTCAATCCCGCAACTTCTAAATTATCATGAAATCAATCCTTCACGCTTGCAGTGAACGGTTCATTTGCGCCGACCAAATTGCAGCGGCACGATCCGGCTTGGTCGAGCAATACCGTTCCTGATTTTGTTCTTGCGCCGCTCAGACCCGCCGTCCTCATGCTTGACAAGAAACAAAAAAATTAAAGCCAATCGTTCCGACGGCAGCTAAATTACTATCAGCGATAAAGAACGAATAGGAAATTTTGGATTTCGAAACAAAAAAAAGAGGAGGCTGCAACACGAGCGATCTTCCCCCCCCCCTAGTGGGGTCACTCCATCCTAGTACTACTCTCGCCAAGCACGTTTAATTTCGGAGTTCTGGATAGTCGCGATCCGGTGCATTAAGTGCTGGTATGTATCGCCACCGCCATTTTCCTTCGCCTTTATATCTTTAACTACCCAGTCCTGAAAAGCCCAGGTGTGGCTTCTTCTAGACCGCAAATTCATTTTTAAGCCGCTCAATACATGCATTTTCCTCTTATCCTTTTATTTATTTACTTTATATTTTTTTTGTTATTGATTTGCACCTTATTTTTTTCCCTCATCCCGCAACTCTAAATTATCATGAAATCAATCCTTCTCGCTTGCGGTGATACATTTGTGCCGACAAATTTGAGCGACGATACGGGCTTTGATCGAGCCGTACCGTTCCTGATTTGTCTCGCGCCTTCAGACCCGCTTCATGCTTCGACAAGAAGCAAAATATAAAGCAATCGTTCCGACGGAGCTAAATTACTACAGGATAAAGAACGAATAGGAAATTTGGATTTCGAAACAAAAGAGAGGGGTGCAACACGAGCTACTTCCAGGCGGCCGTACACCCATCCTAGCTACTGCTCTCGCCCCAAGCACGTTTAACTTCGGAGTTCTGATGGGATCCGGTGCACTAGTGCTGGTATGATCGCACCCGCCATGTTCCTTTCGCTTTATTCTTTTAAACTACCCCGTCCTGCGAAGCAGTGTGGCTTTTCTAGACCGAAATTCATTTTAAGCGTCAATTCAAGCATTTTTCTCTTATCCTTTTATTTATTTACTTTATATTTTTTTTTGTTATTGATTTGCACCCTGTTTTTTCCCTCATCCCGCAACTCTAAATTATCATGAAATCAATCCTTCACGCTTGCGGTGATATATTTGCGCCGACAAATTTGAGCGACGATCCGGGCTTTGATCGAGCCGTACCGTTACTGATTTGTCTCGCGCCTTCAGACCCGCCTTCATGCTTCGACACGAAGCAAAATATAAAGCAATCGTTCTGACGGAGCTAAATTACTACAGGATAAAAAACGAATAGGAAATTTCGATGTCGAAACAAAAAAGAGAGGGGTGGAACTCGAGGAATTCCCAGGGGGTCACCCATCCTAGTACTACTCTCGCCCAAGCACGCTTAACTTCGGAGTTCTAATGGGATCCGGTGCATTAGTGCTGGTATGATCGCCCCCGCCATGTTCCTTTCGCTTTATTCTTTTAAACCACCCCGTGCTGCGAAACAGTGTGGTTTTTCTAGACCGAAATTCATTTTAAGCTTCAATTCAAGCATTTTCCTCTTATCCTTTTATTTATTTACTTTGTATAATTTTTTTTATTGAT